TTAGTTCCCAATATTTAATATATTTTTGTTGAATCCTTACATCTAGATTGTTAACGATTTTTTATTACAACTTGTCACATAATATTTAGTATGGTCAAAAAAGTAATTTGGATATTCTTGACTAATTTTTTACCCAAATTTTAGTCAAAAACTACTCATATTACACATTTTTTTTTCAAGAGTTATGCAAATTATTGTTTACCCTATTTAGGTATCACGTAACAAATTTATGATAAAAAATAATTAACAATTTGAATGTTGTCTGCTTGAGGGACGACATAGAAATATATTCAATATTTTAGAGGTCAAACTAATATAATTAAAATATTGAAGACTAAAATAAGACAAATTCTATATTTTTAGGACCTTTAGTGCAAATACACGGAACTAAAATGCTTAATTCTTAACAAAACAAAAAAAAATGGATAATTACACTCCATCTCCCTGAGTTTTGTCACTTCATCACTCAAATCCCCTAATATTTAAAATATTATACATAAACCCCTTAAAGTTTCTACGCGCGTAACATTTAGACTTCCATTAGTAAATTACATACAGATCCTCTGAAGTATATAGGCGTATAATACGTAAACCCCTCAAATTTAAAATATTATACTTATATTAAAAATATTTTAATCAAACATAAAATATCAAATATTTTAAATTTTACTATCAAAATTTATGCTATATTATATCAATTATTGAAATAAGATCAAAAATAAAAAGTCAATTCTTTCTTAAAAAATTGTAATTAGTATACAATTATACTATCTATTGGAATAAAACTAAAAAAAATCAAACAAGGGGTCTAAGTCATTTAATTTACAACTAAAATTTATATTCTATTATGTAATTTATTGAAATAAAATTAAAAATAAAAATCTAATTTTTTTTTAAAAAATCATAATTAGTATGCAATTATATTATCTATTAGAATAAAATTAAAAAATTAAATAAGGGGTCAAACTGTAATGGATAAAATATATTCTAACTTTAATTGGGGTAATCTGGTAGTTTAATTTGGTCGTTTAAAGGATCAAATTAAATTTCAATAAATAGTATAATTGTACATTAATTATAATTTTTTAAGAAAAAATTAGATTTTTATTTTTAATTTTACTTTAATAAATGCCAAAATATAACATAAATTTTGGTCATAAAATTTAAAATATTTGATATTTTATCTTTGATTGTAGTATTTTTAATCTAAATATAACATTTTAAACTTGAACGGTTTAACTATAATACGACTATAAACTATAGGGTGTTTGAATATAATTTATTAATATACTAGTAATTGCCCGTACCTGAAGGCACTATACAACAAACAAAAATATCGCAAACAATTGTTTATTCCTGAAGGCACTGTGTAACACAACAATCTCCAATAAGAATAATAATAATAATAATAATAATAAATCACAGTGTACCTATGTCTGGTTCAAATTCTTTGTTAATTCAAATCAATCACTATACATTGGTTCACTGAAATTTTGATTTTTAGCCCAACATAATTGAGAACAAAATAAATGGAACCTAAGTTTTAATACAAAAAAAGGCGGATTGTGTTTGAATCCATCACAACAGAGACCTAGGCATTACCCGTACTTGAAAGCACTGTACAACAAATAAATGTATAGAGAGGAAACCCCGCACACATACACACGCAATAGGATTTCTAAATTTCTTCTCTTTCACCATTCGAGTTAAATCTCCCCAACTCATACCATTTGCAAGAGCAAAACTCAAAGAAAAACTTAAAAGCAAAGCAAAATTGTAATCAAAAAAATCTGCTATAGATATTGTATAAATTCTATATATATATATATATATATATATATATATATATAAAAGCTGCTTATTTCATCAAAAAATTCAATACAAACATCAAGCAAATACAAAGGGCAACTTATATGAAATTTCCAGCATAAACACACATTTAAAAAACAGCCCTTAAAGCACAGATATGGAGTTGCAACTTCAGTAACACTTACTACATTTTCCTTCCTAGCAACTCCATTTGTTTCCTCTATTTTCCCCTCTTTGACAATAACTTTGTTTTTTCACTTAGCAACACAATCAATGTTAACCTTTTCCAACCAAAATGGTTTCTGCAAGTTATCAGAAAATTTCATTAACATCGCTGGGAGCAAATGGATAAAAAAAATAGTAGCTGTAAAGTGAACAAAGAGAAAACAAAAGGAACACATTACCAGAATTCAAACACCCTAACTATTACCCTTTTTCAAATAATCAACGTAAAATCAACAACTCATTCATAATTGTTTGTTACCTAGCGGTTGCATCAGATTACCAGTACAATAAGTTAGAGCAGAAATGTAGCAAATATACAATAAGCATGAAAAAAATTGCTTTAGATGTTGCAGTTAAGCTCTACTTCATTGTAGCAAATATACGCATCAATAAAATTGACTTTACTTTGCTATAATAAATATTTGTTTTTGCTGTATTTTTTTACCAATCTCTAAGTATACTAACTATTCAACTTCATGTGAAGTCATGAGTTATGACATTCGAATTATGTTATTTCAATAGCCAAAAATATTGTAATCCAAGAAGTCAAACAATTCCAAAGATGCAACAATGGAATATTTGTGTATAAAAAAGTGAATCCAACAATAATCATCAAAGTTTTTCACAACAAAGGAAAAACAATAATCATCGAAGTGAAGAAAACAAAGTCGAAAGTCACCAAATATCAAACGGAGGATTTAGGAATATAATATATTTTGTATAGAACTGTAACCTTTTTACCAAGATAGATAGTCTCCATATCAACAGAAATAGAATTTCGACTCCGCTATGATTGTCGGTGCTCCGTGTTTGAGAAAAGCTAAATTATTAAAAACTTGGAGCAATCATTGGTCATTAATCACAATGTGGACTAAAGGAAAATCAAACTCAACCAAATGCCATGACTGTATGATCACTCACACCCAAAATCAATAATCAAAGCAACGTAAAAGTGTAAGATTGTGGAAGAGATAACAGTCTCTCATTCCTGTTGAAAACTACAATAAGTTTCAATTACTATTGGATAACAATCTTGCAAAACACGATTAACTTAAATTAATGCCATTAAAAATTCTTTAGTTACACCACAACCCCTCAACCCAATTGCTTGCAACACTATCTTTATCAATAATCAACATTCAAAATTAAATAATTAAATAAACTAAAACCAAAAAACATAACTAATCCCAAATGGGTTGTATCTATTTCAAAACCAAACATTGCAACAAAAAAAATGGTAACTTGAAGAACATACATGAAAAGGATGAACTAAATATCAAGTCACATACCAAAAAAAAAAAAGGAGAGAAAAAATACAGAGTGATTCAGATTATGTAATCTGACAATAGAGTATAATTTTACCTTCGGATTCATATATTCTTATGTATGGTGACAAATGGAAAGAATGGGCTACTACAACCAATCAAAAAGAATTTATTTTGTTCCTCTCTTCCCCATCCATAACATTCATGCTCTTCAAGGTTGAATACACAAAATGGTATCAGCTGTAGAGTGTACACCTTCAAATTGAAAAACAAATCTCTCACAAATAGACACATGCACACACACAAAGGCACAGAGTACCTAGAATAGCTCGTTTTTTTTTGGAAACTTGTTCTCCCAGAGAGAACTCCTTCGAATTGTTGGATATTTCCCCCAAGACAACCAATTGAAACTCTCAGAGCAGGGCTCTGAACCGGCCAAAGGCAGCTGATGCTTGACGGATGTGAAATCAAGCTTGAAGATGTCAAGATTCGCCGATGAACTAAAGTGCACGTCCACCACCCCCCGCCATTGTCCCTGCAGCGAGGAAGGGCGCGTCTGTCGCAAACCCCACCGACGTTGATCTATTCACCTCCTTTATACACGTCATGTGGATCACCGCCATGTTTTATACACGTGAAGATGTCAAGATTTGTGCTAACAAAAACTATACCATTAGTGACAAACCTGAAATCCTACAAAATGAAAAAATTAATCAAAATCCAGTGAAAAGAATCTAATGAATGCCACAAAAATAATTGTCAAAATCAAACAAAACAAATCAAAGAGGAAAATAAATTAAATTAATTACACCCCACAAAAATTCATATTAAACAAAAGAGTATACAATATTTGTCATAAGCATTTCAACAAATACTTCATGTGCATTACGATTAAGAGCAAATCAATATCAAATATCATGCGTCACTGACTGCTGAATGAGAGAGAGGGGAAAGAGAGACAGAGAGAAATATGAAAGACAATGAGACAGTAAGAAGGAGATACCTGGTAGTGTTGCTGGTGGGTGTGGGTGTTATAGGAGCAGAAAGAGGTGGAGAGATAGCGGAAGACGAGAAACATACCTGGTGGGTGGGTGTTGGTTTTTTGCGATTGGGGGCAGATGAGGAAAGGGGCCTAAGGCGATGATTGGTAGAGGGGTGGTATTCCGGTGAACGACCGGTGGAATTACTGGTGATCGTTGGGATAATAGAGATGGTGAGAGAGTGGGAGAGAGAGGCGTGTATGAGAGAGAGATAAAAACGTATATGAGGTAGGAGTGTAGAATCTTGCAATGAGAGACTTCTTCATGGACGGAAAAAAAAATTCAATACTCACTGTAGACTGTTATATCATAATTTTTAAGATGATCTGAACCATCTTTTATATTGAGATTACATTGTCCGGTGAATGTGTTTATATTTTAACTCAAGACAATCTAAACCACCCTTTATCTTTTGGATTCAAACTTCATTCTACTTTATTATATAGATATGCTAATAAACATTGACGACAAGGGTTTAAGTTATACGCATATATAAATTTCAGGAAGTTTGTGTGCAATATCATAGGTCAAAGTAATTAAATAAAAAATCTCAGCTTAGTATAATTCTTCCCAAAAAAAAATACTAACGAATTTTTGTTTGAAATACCATAAGCTATAATTCATTATCCACTATCACTGTTAATAACGTATACACATACTCTCGACTTCTCTCTCTCTCTCTGCTGTTTATTGTCTGTCTGGCAATAAAATACTCTGAAAAATAGACAGAGAAGCGAGAGCGTGAAGTGATCAAGTTCTCGATCCATCATTAGCTGTTGTGGTTGTGCAGAGAGAGGGTTCCGATGGTGGTGCGAAACGACGTGGCAACGGTTAATTCGCCGACTGACGATGATCATCGTCATCATCATCAGCAGGCACCGTCGGCTACTCCGTCGAAGCAGGTCAAGGCTTCGCCGAACACCGTTGACTCCAACTCTGTTACCCAAAGGTATCAGTTTTTGATCCACTTTTACTAATTTTATTGTCTTTTTATTCTGATTTTGTTGCAATTTCATTCGGTTAATCAAGATTTGGTCTTTTTTTTAATCATATTGATTTTGTAGATTGCAGAAAGAGCTAATGTCTCTCATGGTACATCTCTCTCTCTCTCTCTCTCTCTCTCTCCTGTATATGTGTGTGTTTACGCGTGAGTGTGTTGATTGTTTGAAGTTTGGTGTTGTTGCTGATATGTATCTGACTCGTCCTGATTGGTACCCTAGACAAGGGGAATTTGTAGTTGATGATTATGACTAATATTCCAAATGATGAAAAGTGCTATAGGTATCAGAATTACTCCTATCAACTATAAGTATCATGATACCTAGATATAGGAGTACTTCTGTACTAGGGCCCGAATGAACTTTAGCACACAATAAAAGAGTTAGGAGTTGTAAACAAGAAAGAAAAAATCATATCTTCCCTTTGATCTTGCAGGATGGTTTATGTGCTTTTTTTTTTGTATTCACTTTGGATGGTATATTTTAGTAGTCACTTCCTGGTTTTCTTCTGGATTTTCACCTCGGACAATGGCCTAGATGTTGATCGGGTGTTAGGTTTATGGTAGTGCATAGGGTCCAAATATGGTATTGAAACTTTTCGATACCGTACTTTGTATTTTCCACCATTCAAAACAAGACTCTCGTAAAGATTTTACATTTTAGAATTGTATATTATTTTATTATTTTTATGATCAAGGGCTATAAAAAATCAATGCAAGATCCACAATTAAAAATGAATTTCAGTATGGTACTACTTCGTAGTGTTATCCTAGTAAGTAAATTGTAATTGGTTGTGGTACTTTCTGCCGTTTGACATAGAGAGGTACACAAATAAATTTATTAGTATTTTGAAGACTTTACATAACTCTCTACCCAGCTATAGTTGGGGAAGGGAACATATATTAGAGAGTATGTGTTTGCTGATATGGCCAATATTAATTTGTTATATTAATGACTATTTAATATTAATTCTTCAACTTTGAATGTAGCTCGCATATCATAGGATAGAGCCTTTGGCTTTACAATTGCTTGCTCACATAAGTTTATGAGGTTTTCTACATACTTCGATCTACAATTGTAATTTGGTGAGCCGCTGATAGGAATATTCTGCAAATTGGAATGCATGTGCCTCCTTCAGTTCATTTTAAGAAACATTTATAAGCTGGACAACAAGTCTGAAACGTCATTCATTTTATGAAATGCATCATTTGACCACTATGTTGTGGTTCTCTATGACCACCTTCTGTGAAATTTCAGAGAGATTATACAGGGATTCTGGTAGCATGATCTGTTTACGGATTGTATAATTTCCACCAGTGGTTAACAAGTTGTTGGAACTTACTTCCAAAATCTTCTAACATATCTTCCATCCCCTGAACCTAAATGGTATTGAAAAAAAAGGTGGAATTAAGAAGTGAAGGTTTCTGGAAAATCATGCTACTCTTTTATTTATGCGTTTAGATTTTAGGCAGATGTCAACATTTTAGTGGCGTTATAGGAATTTCTTGATTGATCAGTGAATGATCTTTACCTACTATGGAATGATTTTTAGGGGAGTTTCTGGCCTAGGGTTTGATATGTCCCTCGGAAATTTCATCATTTTACTCCAGCTTCTGGTTGTTGGGGCAATATTTCTATTGTTTTTTTGTGAAGTTAACCCCGAACCAATTTTTTGCTTTTGAGTGTATCTTTTCTTTTCCATGGCGCAATTTGTAATTTTAATACATCTTTTCTTGATCTGCAAAAGCTAATATACGAAAATAAAAAGACAAAGAAAGTTTGCAAAGTAACTATGATACAAACTATAATCATGTAATCACTTTTTTTTTAGTTGACTTGAAGTTATGGAGTGAAGTATTGACATAAAAAATCCTTACTTTTTTAGAGATTTGAGATCATTGTAAAGCAGTGGTAATTATAGAAATTTAGTTACTGTTAATTGAAGATGCCCTATAATGTTAACTTTTACATGGGATAAGTTGAAGTGGTTATGGTGCACAATTTTGAACAACATATGTCACCTTAACAACTAGGGAAAGTGGTAAAATTGACAAGTAGAAACCTGTCACAATTAGTTTTTGTGTTTTGCTTTCTCCTTGAGAGATTGAGTCATACTTATACGTGGACGTAGAAGCAAACCCCTCAAAAAGGGGGAAACCATAGTAGCTGGAGCAACAATGATAATAATGCCAAAATAATCTTTTTCTTATTCATTCTTTCATGAGACATTTGGTTTTCTCTCTGTTAACTATGACTAAAATATTCCTATCATCTTTTTTCTCCCTTCTGTTCTTTAATATATCATTTTATTGATGTATCACCATTGTTCTACCTGGCAAGTAATCTTTTTATACTTTATATATGTAGATGAGCGGAGGGGATCTTGGAGTATCTGCCTTTCCTGAAGGAGAGAGTATCTTTACTTGGATTGGTACCATTGAGGGCGGCAAAGGAACTATGTATGAGGGTTTATCTTACAAAATTTCTTTGCGCTTTCCCCTTGATTATCCTTTCAAGCCTCCCCAAGTGAAGTTTGAGACGATGTGCTTCCATCCAAATGTTGACCAGTATGGGAACATTTGTTTAGACATCCTTCAGGTATCTATTACCATGGCCGCAAACATTAATTGTAAAAAAATTCCTGATTCCAGGATTGGAAAAGTAAAGTGATATCCCTGGATTTTTAATGCATGGACCCACAACTTGAGGTTTGAAGTGGGCACAATCATTTATATAGGGTTTCTGTCTTCCATGTTGTTGGGTTAGAAAGGGCCACTTATTCAATTGTCCAGTTTAAGCAGTTGGCTTACATTGTGAAGATCTATCCAATTATTTGTCTTTCAGTATGGCTTATATGGCTTTTCTCTTTGAGGAAACAACATTTAAAATCTAAAAAGCTTAGACCTCTGTAAGCTCCTTATGCTTTCTACAACTGACAAGGCTTTTACAGAGGTATCATTAATGGGATTATTAGATGATCACTCGCCACAATTTTGTGGTTAATTTTTTTTCCTGAATATTAAAAGCAAAAATAAATTTCCAATTGTGATGTTGGTGGGGCCAATCAAGTTGTGGGTGTGAGTATATCATTGCTGATTAACCATCAAAATTGCTATTTTATTATATTTAATGATTGGTTAATTGTATATTATTTGTGATTAAATATGTTGAATTTCTTGATTTTTTAGTTTGATACTTTTTCTAGTTGTTTGGTTTATTTTGCAGGTAAATTGGTTGATTTAAAGTAATAATAGATAAGACAAGTAAATCAATCACTAGAATCACAATTAATAAGGATTGAAGAGTCAATATTGAGATAGGAAGACTTGAAGATATGACGGCAATTTAATCCTTATAAGAGTCCAAGATGGAAAAAAACTCATTTAAAGTTGGATTAGGAAAGTATCCTAGAAGAATAAGGATTTGACACGTCTTTAGTATTTTGGTCATAACTTTTAACTCTTATATCCGATTTACTTGATTTTTGGGGGCCGAAAAGAAGACTCTAAGGGCTACAAAAGTGTATTTCACGAAAATTTCGTGAATCATCCTCTAAATATGTGAAATCCAAGCTCGAAGTCTGGATAGATTTTGTATCCGCGCCCCAAAAATTTTATGCACGGGATTTAATCTACAAAACTTCTCTTTGGAAAGAAATTCCTTCCAAGCCAACCTTATATCTTCTACTTATATTTAGGATTTATTTTTAGTATAAATAAGGGTTCTCATCTAGGATTTATGGGGATGATTCTTTTCTCATATTTTCTTTTCTAGTTTTAGTTTGTCATGTCTGACTAGAAAGCTAAATTAGGGCTAGGGGAGAACCTCTCAATGAAGTACGGTAATGTTATTGATTCTGAGTTTAATGATTTATGATATTTTGTTAATTTAACTTATGATCTTATAGCAAAGTTTTTGCTCTGTAAAAATCCTTGAGTTGTTGTGCCATGTACATCGATTGTTTGAATTTCCCTGCGAGTAAATAACTGGTTATTCCATGCTTGAGGTAATTATCATTATTTCATAAAATAATATAATTGGATGATTATTCAGGTTCCTAAATAATCTTTTGATTATAACTTTTGATTTTCTTACTTGATTTGTTATTTGAATCAACCGACATCTGATTTTTGTTCCAAGTTAAGTTTTGAGTCCTTAATCATTATTGTATGGAATTGAGAGGTAGTACCTGATGCTCTAGTATTTTTATTATATTGTTTTAAATTACTACAATTAATATTTTCTCAACTCAACAATCTCTTAAATAAATTATTCTTACAAATTTGCTTTTTATTTGTTTTGTGTCTCTTGTTTATCCAATTCCCTGTGGTTCAACCTCGAACTCCTGAGAAATTTATTACTTCGCACAACCTGCATTTGGGTGATCAATTCTAAAGTTGTAGCAAATATCCATTAAATTTTAGCCTTGTTCCCTTTGAGAAAGTTAAGAACCATACACGGTTTTGAAGTCTTGACGTGCAGGATGCACACTTCCTTTGAAGGTGATGTCAATGGGGTTTTGTTTTCTTGCAGGACAAGTGGTCTTCAGCTTATGATTGCAGAACCATTCTTTTGTCTATCCAAAGTCTATTGGGAGGTATGCCGATGAATATATGCAAAAATTGTGCAGCATATATCCATATCTTGTATATCTGTTCTTTTGCCTTATTTGGCCTCTCTCGCATGCAGAACCCAATATCGAGAGTCCTCTCAACAGCTCTGCTGCTGCACTTTGGAAGAACCAAGAAGGTGCACCAATTTTCCTTATATCTTTATTATACAGCCCTGTCAGTTCCCTTGATACATCCAAAAGGAGGAAAATGAGAAGCCCATAGCATGACCTGTAGTACACTTATGTACTTATGATCAACTTTTCTGTTAACATCGCAATACTAGTCTTGATTTGAGATATCAGCTATTGCCTCCTTTTATGGGGTGGGAATTGCCCCATCCTAATCTCATTGATGGAACTAGAAAATCTGCTTAGGCAGCTTAAGCTACTGGATGGTTGAAACTAATACACAGATTTTTGGGTGGTGCATTTTATCTACTGGTCAGGCATTATGCATCTTTAATGGGTTCGGTAATTTTAGAAGGCCAATCAGGATAAACTTTTGAGTTGCAAAATACTATTTTGACGCCTCAACCCTCCTGATGAAATCAAAACTAAACATTTTGTTTTTGTCAGAATCAAAACTAAACATAAATATCACAATTTTTGCTTGTTTTTAGATAAAATGCCACCTTCTTCTGCAGTGCCTTTTTTTTTAACCTGTTTTGGATGGTGGACATTTATTTATTCAAAGAACACTGATGCCATAGAAATTGCTGATCCAAAATTATGGATTTAGATTTCCTGGAAAAAAACTTTTGGGATATGCCAAAAAAATGTGTTGGATGTTTCGTTTCCAATACACCAACAGGAGCAAGGTCTGACTATAACTTATGTATATATGACACTGTTGTCTACTTTTTATGTAGCTGATGTGTTTTTAAAGGTTTAGGAATATAGCGGGGTAACATGAAAGCAAAATCTTCTTTGAAAATCCATTTCAAGAGATTGAAACTTTTTGGTGCAGATTACAGGAAAATGGTATGCAAGCATTATACGGCAGCAGAAGCGTTTGAGAGCTGATCTCGAAGTCTTATTGCAAGCATCTAGGCAAACATTTTCCAGATAGGATGCACATGCTTCATAATGGTCTTAAGACAGAACAGTACTGGGGAAGAGAGGGAGGTTTGGGTGTGATCTCACTGATTGGCCGATCTTCCAAATTCATTGGTGAGTCAATTTTGTGTATGTATGATTTTCTTATAACTGCATTCTGTCAATATACCTATTGTTCAGTTGCTAAATGAAACTTAAAATATGGAGTTGTATCATTATGAGTGTTAGTTTTTTCCTTCGAAAAAATGTTGCCACGTTCAAGCTGATTTTGCTAAATCTTGTTTGACGTTTACTTCATTTTTTATTATGTGAAATGTGAAAAGCGATTAACAAAATTGCACTGAATAACTGTTAAATGTTGCGAGATAGGTTGTATGAGTCGCACCAAGTATCACTATAAACGCGCAACAACAAAGAACTAGGGCTTTCGACTAGTGGCAAAGATGGGGTGTTATTAAACGGGCTTTAGGTTCTAACTTCATCTTCTACAGATGAACAATCAAAGAAAGATGACATTGAGAATTGACGAGTCAGGATTTGGTTATTGCAAGCACAAATTGGTGGTCAAGTAACAGTAGATAACTAATATTAAAGTTGATTCTTGTTGCCATAAATGCAAGTGGTAGAAGAGCATTGATATATATATTTGGTGAGTAAATTATACTTTGCCCCCCTCTGAACTATTATTTTTGTTTCATTTTGCACTCTCAACTATTAAATTTCTTACATTGCATCCTAAAGTATTAATTTTATTTCATTTTACTCCACTAGATAAAGATAAACTTGAAAATCTGTCAAAGGATGGAGGAAAACCCCAAGGAGTTTTTCACCGAGTGCCTAATACCACTTTATTTTACTTCTTTTGCAACAAAATAGTTATCGGGAAGAAAAAGAAAGTCGGTTAGAGAAAGAAAATTTGGAATTTAGGAATGAAAAAGTTATGAATAGGTATTTTTATTCATTTTTGATTTGTATATGTGTAATAGACAGTTGTTTATTGGAAGAATAGACCACTCACATGTACATTAACCATTAAAAATTTGAATAAAAAAGATGGACAGCCTGTAAAAGATGTGATAAACAACAACATTAATAATAAATAAATGCATACATCCAAAATATACTTTTATACAATTAAAACATGCTTGTTTAATTTCAATATTATTTAAAAATATTCATAATAAGTAATATTTACATAACTTTTGATTCTATTGATATAATCCTACGAAATATTTGATCACTATAAGCAACCAAATTGGAGATGATTGAGGGTATTTTACTTCATTCATTTTAATACTATTGAATAAATTACCTAATTAAACATTATATTGAATTTGATACTTATTATCTAACTTTTAATACCGCACTTAGCAAACGTTTGACTATTATTTATATTATCTTTACTCCGATTTAATGTTAGATTTTATCCCAGATGTATTCCCAAATGCAATAACTCTTTTGTTAATACTAGATTTAAACGACTCCTTAGTATCAAACCAGACAAAGGGGTGTGGAAATTTCCCTTGCCCTTGATGGGACAAAGGCTAGGTCCCATCTGCGGATGGTGAGGTAATGCTTCACGATCACCCATGGACCTCATGTAATGTAGTAATTTTGTGGCAATCCTCCTATAACTAGAACTTGAACAGTAAGAAGCCATGATCAAGATCAATTGTGTCAAAATCACTTTGAAGAGAAAATTGGAGGCCCTAAATATATTTCGTACTATCGTACAGTGGATTTTTTGTAGCCAATAGACCTCCCTACAAGTTTGACAATCAAGTCATCCTTCCATTTGTTCCTAATATTCTGTATTGTAGTATTTTTTGGGATGTCTCGTCCGAAGTGTTGATTGCCGTAGCGTCTTCCATTTTGATATTCTTACTCTGTTCCAGCTCTGTTTTCCATTTTGAGATAACAGCAAAGAACCAGATCAAGAGGTAGACAGTGAGAGTGAAGAAAAAAATTGTGAAAAGAATTTGAGAGAGGTTGTTACTTTTATATTTTAGGATTTTTTATAAGGTTTTACGTAGACTTGTAAACATTTATAATATAAAACAGGGTAGAGTTCAATAAACCCATCTCACGGCCTCAAATAGATTCATCCAATGATCACCAATATCTCGCTTAAATTTCAACTCGGGTTACCCCTATTATTATTATTACGTTTTAGGGTTTTTTATAAGGCTTTAGATATACTTGTAAAACATATCGGGCATATGGGTCTTAGAACATGAAACTGAATTATGGCCTAAAAATTAAAGGGTAAATTGTAAAGGGTACAAAAAATATATAGCTCTTAATGTTAAGTCATTAAGTCTTTATTTTTAGAACTTAATTGTGTTCAAGTACACAATTTGACTTTTTATGATTTTTCTTTAACATATTTGTCCTCTCTTAAATCATGCACATTTGTTTTGGCAATTAATTTGATTTTTCCGACCTTTAATTATCTCAACAGTACTTGGTGTGTTTGTCTCCCACGCACCTTCATTTTCAAAAGAGAGAGTGCAAAAACTGGTCGTCTCTTTCTCGTTGAGTATATGTGTTGATATGTATATATATATTTAGGAGTTTTAATAAAATAAAAACCTAAAATTTAGAAAATTCAAAACTCATAATATACTTCTCTATTTTTTTAGGAATACGTTTCAAATTTTTTGAAAACTTTTGAAATTTGACAACTAAAATTTAGGAATTTTAATTATCTTATATTAGAAAGTACTAAAATAAAAAATTTTAATTTTTTTAATTTGGTAACGTATGTTTTAATGTATATACACATATAGTTGTCTAGATTCTATTACTCGTACACTATTTTGATACATTGTATTGATACACTTTAAAAGACTAGTAATACACACGTGCGTTGCACGTGAAAAAAATTTAGATCAAAAAATTTTAATTATATTTTTTAGAAATACAAAGTGTATGAAGATGACGAAGTAAAAGACTACTGGTATATGCATTCAATGACTTCTTGAATCTGATAAAACTTTTTGGCATTACAACACAAGACCAAGAAAACTCCTAAATATAATTTACTAATCTAAAACTATTCCACCTCCACATGAATTCAAGAAGTCTGGTAACAAAATTAATTCTACTCATAATATAATAACAACTCCTAAAACACTAAAAAAAAGCCTACTAATAATAAACAATTAAATATTATGAGATTATTAGTTCGAATTCCAAAAATTGTTTTAAGGTAAACAAAACATTTATACAGTGGTCATACCCAAACAGATGGAAAACAAAGTTAAAAAAAATATATCATGCTAGCAATAGGCATGTCCTGACACAGAAAAAAAAGCTTACAAGTTGACGACACCAAGCACTATTGATCCACCAATCTCCACAGCCATAATATGCTTAACCTCAAGAGGATAGAGGTGCAAGACTACTAATTTTAATGGATTTTGAAGAAAAAACTTACTACAAAGATATAAGACCAAATACGTTAATGGAGTTACTAGAGAGATAGGAGTCTATCTACCTATATATACTTCTAATAAAAGAGTTTAAAATATGTTGGAAGTCTAACATTTATGAAAGAAAGAAAAATATATGGTTTGACTTTTTTACTCTTCTAATATTTTATTACTAGTCATAACCCGTGCCTGAAGGCATGATAGAGCAAAAAATTTGAGTTTTAAAAAATCGATATCACTATATTAAATAATATTTTTTCTTTCTTTCATTTGTTTGATTAATCATTCATAATTTATTTTATCCATTATTTTTTTCAAAATATTGACAAAATTTTCTCAAAATATGTAATTTGATAAATTTGTTTAACAGATCTATACTATCGATAATATCTGAAATAAAAATTATGTTAAATTATAAATTAATCAAATATTAAATGGTTGAGCATGCAATAGAAATAAGTGATGTGATGATTTTAGGGGTGAAAAATATATAGGGGATAAAATTCAACTTCCTGTGTGTTTTATTAAATAGATTTGTATAGATATAAGAACATATGATAACAAAGGAATTCGAAATGAATGAGATTTTGACATTGACTTTATCAATTGAAATTTTTATTATAGAAAAATCATTTTTAACTATAAAAATTATTATGATAAAAAAATATAAAAATTATAAAAACTTGATTATGTAACCAAATGAGTGATAATATGATGACTAATATTATAACAAAGTTATAATACGACGTTTTAAAATAAAAAATTCATTGGGATAATATAACGATTGAAATTACGTTTATTGGCTGGCTAGCGTATATATAATGGGAAAAAAATTGATGACATTTTAGTCTATTTACATAATAAAGAGTAATTTTAGTATTTTAATCAAATATTTAGTTAAATCATTATTTTAGCTACTGATAGAGACAAAATTTATTGTTATAGGGGTTGTCATTGAATTTAGACTCAACTACATGGTGTTTAGATAAACTTTCCCTAAGATATAACATGTAGATATAGTAAGTCTTCGATCTGTGTAATATATATATGTACAGTAAAGATGTGTGTGTGATATGAACAGTAAAGATGAAGAGCAATTGCATTAGAATAGAATTTTGGGAAGACATGTGTCTCAGTTTGGAAAGAGAATCATAAAAGATGAGAGTGTGAGGGGAAGTCAATGTCCCAGTATAGAAAGTGATTCCTTAATATAGGAAATAAAATCAGAGAAATAATGATAAGAATTGAAATCTGTATTTTAGGGAGAAAGAGACAGAGTTGAGGAATGAGAGATCGCTTAATTGTCGGATTTGATTGGATTGGAGAATTAAATTTATGAATGTTAGTTTTTGGAAACTAAAAGTTTTGAGCGGCAAAAAATTTTCAATAACTAATATGGTACATCGGATCAAAATGATCTGAGACGTCAATAGCATGAGACAGTTTGAGATAACGCCGTCCGTTGGATTATGACTTTTTTGGGTATAAAACGATCTGAGTCGCTCTTTGTCTCTTGAATTCAAAATCGTTCTACTTTATTATATAGATATACCACTGAATAATGAATTTTAGATAGTGTGTTTATAATCTAAAAAATAGTAATTTTTTTCCCATGGTATTAGAATTCTAGCTAAGTTTGCTGAATTAAATGAAAAAAAAAAAAGAATGTACTGGCAAGTCATAGTAATAAAATTTATCCAGCAAAAATTTTGGAAGTCATAGAAATAAAATCTATCTAGCTAATATATAGTTATAAATTTTATAAAGCAAAAATTTTGGAATATTTGTGATAAAGTTTATCTAGCAAAAAATTTAGAAATCATTAAGATAAAGTTTATATAACTAATATTTTGTGGGTATAATTGTCTTTAAGGTAATAATTAGGGGTGAAATAGGAAATCAAAATTTTTTCGCAAATGTTGACAAATATATAGTTATAAAGTTTATCTATTAAAAATTTTGGAATATTAGTGATAAATTATACCTAGCAAAAAATATAGAAGTCATACAGA